TGCATTATTGTTAATGATGGAATAAGTCGGCAACAACTTCCTAATTACGTCACCACAAGATGTGTCTCAAGTACGTTTTGATAGTTGAGCACGAGTCACTGATAAATGTCTGTGACACCAAAGGCCTGAAACAGGTTTGTCTTGTTCTGGTTGTACGTGCCATGAATAAACCCAGTGATCTTTGTTCATGTCCTGTTAAAAAAACCTTCACACTGTTGCCTAACTGACACACAAAGGCAAGTAAAGATAAACGTTAGATAATTTTAAATTTATTTCCCTGTGGATTAATGAAACAATCCTGAAAAAGCAGAAAACTAGAGACTAAACAGTTTTACGTTTGTGTTTCATATTAAATGCGCTTCAAAGTCCCTGATGGAGCTTTAGTAGCGGCTGACAGTGCGCCTGGTGTGATAAAGACTCAGTTGTGTGCTCAGTGAAAGTTCCCTGGGTTGTCACTGTTGATGTTTTGGTGGAGTGTTTTCCGAGGATCGTGATCAGACCGTGCAGCGATGATGAAATAAGTTATTAACTGATAGGCAGCATTTTAAGGAGACTGACAAGTAGTAACTCATCTCCACAGTACAGGAGAACCAACAGCAGTTAAACAAACGTATTGATGAATTTTATCTAAGCAGCTAAAAAAGGACCAAAGAAATATCATTACAGAGAATGATTACCTATAAAATGATATTTTGACTACAGATCAGCGGAACCAGCTTCGTATAAATGAGTCACAAACTGTTTTTAATTCATAGAGGACATATTGATTTATCCAGGCTGCAGCTACTTTGCCACTCAGGCAAACATGACTTGCACCGTTGTGGATATAATAAAAATAATGATTCAGGGAGAGAAACGGATGTCAGGTAAGTGCAGCAACTGTTTCATAAGTTGTGATACTTTTCACTCACTAGAACTCTTATTTAATGTAGATATGACGTCCTTGTCCAACTGGGAGGAGACCTAAAGGTAGACCCAGGACACGGTGGAGGGACTATGTCTCTGACCTGGCCAGGGAACGCCTTGGGATTCCCCTGGAGGAGCTGGCCCAAGTGGCTGGGGAGAGGGAAGTCTGGGCCTCTCACCTTAGGCTACTGCCCCCGCGACCTGACTCCGGATAAGCGGATGATAATGGATGGACGGATGGACGGATGGATGGATGGATGGATGGATGGATGGATGGATGGATGGATGACGTGAGTAAATCAAAAAGCATGAGCGTTCCTTTCTCTAGTGTCATCCAGATGTGCCTCACCTGCGTTTCACCCTCAGCAACCATGTGATCTTACCCCTTCGTGTTTATGTGAAGAGATGCAGTGATGTCTTCCATTCATCTTTATTTATTTATTTATTTATTTATTTATTTATTTATTTATTTCCTAAGGGAGAGGCCTCACAGGTCACCAAACAGCTCCAGTTCTGGTACAAGCTTCTACTTCAGTCCCATGTGAGGTGTAAATATAAACCTTTTTCAGCAGTAAATAATAATAATAATAATAATAATAAATGTGGTTTTGTTTAAGTGCTTATAGAAAGTGACAAAGAGAAGTCAAACAACACATTTCATCTAAAAATGCTGCATAAAAGCAATGCATCAAAGTTAAAGAGACACTATTGAATCGTACCAAATGGCCAAGTATTTAATCAAAATGACCAGAAGTTAACTTCTAACTTACAGGCTAAACTTCTTCGTACACGTCAATCTGACAGTGATTCTTAACTTATCCTGCATATGTCACGAGTGCTCAAAGCTGCAAAAGACTCAGGACTTCTTATCTAGCGAGCAAGGACTTGGGACCATCCTCTCTTTTGACTCAAACTCAAAGCCTCTCTGCAACACTTGCGAGTGGTATCAGATGCAAAATAGATACGCCAGCTTCCTGCCGTCACCTGGAAGGTACCTCAGAGCAGATGGGTCGTACTCGGAGCTGAACTACGGTTTCCGGTACCCAGAGGTCCACGCCACTGACAGTTTGTCCATACTGACCTCTTGACCCTCTGGATCTTACAAGGGCCTTCAACACAAAGAGTTTGTAGATTGGCACAATGGCATAGGATGGTTTTATGAATAATTTCTAGTTTGTTAAACCAAACAGTTAAACAGATTTTACAACCCAGACATCACACAATCTCTCAGATACTTAATAAGGTTTTGCTAGAACATCTATCTTACATTCCATCATTTCATTCATAACTTCTCATGTATGATCATTAGTTTAGAAATATGGAATTAAATTCATGTTTCTAAACTATATCCTTGACTCTGTCTGAATTAATATGAAGTGTGTGTTCCCTGTATAGCCCAAAGAACCTAAGGTAATATTAAATCAAATATTCAAAGACCAATCAGATTGATCATTCATATTTATATGGAATATCATATCTTTGTTCAATGAACAAAATTGTGGCTAATAAATCACTTTGCAACTTTTTCATATTTTTAAATCATTTTCTTGAGCCAGTATGTGCTAAAATGACCCTTTACAGGATTAATGACATGTCACCCAGCCCTTATCGCCCTTCCTGTTGCCAGAATATATTATAATAATATTCCAGTCGCCGGTTCGGTCTGATGGAAAAAACCGGAGCTGACATACCTGGTGCTGCAGTCTGCTTCCAGCACATTTCCTGCATGTTTTAGATCATGAACACAGTTGATTTGTTTAATTTAGTGATAAATCACTCCTGTAGACACCAATGAAGGCTGGGGTGACTTTCAGATTAAAGTGTTAAAAAGACGAACGCACCGCAATGAGATACGTTTTGGGTCTGGTTCTATAAACAGACACTAGGGGGTGCTAAAAACAAGCCAACACGTCCTAGTCTCCCTTTAAGCCAAATCCAGATTGAAGGATTCAGTAAAACTGGAATAAGGGCTGCAGCTGGTAGCACTGTTGCCTAGCAATAAGAAGGTTGCTGGATCGAATCTCAGCTGCAGCCTCTCGTTGCAGAGTTTGCAAGTTCTCCTCATGCATGCATAGATATTCTACAATTTCCTTCCTTGGACCAGAAACACGAATTTCAGGTTAGTCTGTGACTCTTAACACAACAGGTGCGAGTGATTAGTCTGTCTCTGTGTGTCACAGTGATGGACTGGCAGCCTGTTCCCTGCCTCTCGCCCGACAATGAAGAAGGCACTAGCTCCTTGTGTCCCTCTGGAGGAATAAACACTTTGGAAAATGACACAACAGCCTAGGGTCTGAGAGGAGAGCAGAGAGAGAGTCTCCAGGTTTACCTTTAGAAACTCCAAGAACCAGAATTAAACCTGCAGTGGGAGAGCCAGGAGCTCTGCTGGGATAACCTGAAAAAGGACAATGTGTCATATGGATTTTGAGAGTTTATATTAGGAGCAACATTTAATTAAACTGTAGATTTTACAGGGAGTCAATGAATTGATGCAAAAACTGGAGAAATGTGATCTCCTCGTTCTTATCAGAACCCTGGCAATGGTACCTTGGATCAGCTGGAGGTCTTTTACACAATTTCTTTACAGCATCCTGATAATAAAGAATTAAAGTATTCAAGCTGTTATGGAAAATGTTATGTTTATTAATTCTTAATCATGGACTCAATCAACTGAATGTAATGTGTATTGCTCTATGCCTCTCTGCATGCCCACTAGTTCAGAACTCATTCAGACAGACACACACACACACACACACACACACACACACACACACACACACACACACACACACACACACACACACACACACACACACACACACACAATCTCTCTCTCTCTCTCTCTCTCTCTCTTCCATCTCTCTATAAATAAACTCTGTGACCGGATGTTCGGGACATTTTGCCTCGTGCATTTTGCCACAGTTATAACTGTTTGACTTGTCTGCTCATTGGCTCCTTCTCTCTTCACTATAGGAAATGGCTTATTGATAAACAAATTGATAAAATCCATGACACAGGCCCAGAAGGATTAAATGTCTGGGCACACCTTTTGGCATCCCATTGGGTCAGGACGTTCAAATGGTAGAATGCTGTTCTGATTAGATGCTTCATAGAAGAGTTTAAGTTAGTGTCATCCAGAGTAAGCAGACAACTACGCAGCTTGTTCCTGGTTCTCAAAACCACAAAAAAGACCGCCAGCTTCAGAGGAGATGTACTACTTTTAACATAACCAAATATTAGCTTTGCACACAAACACTAACCATTAATGTTTTTGTGTAAACATGACTTGTGCACTAATATCACCTCCTAATAGCACTAAACATTTCTGCAGGCCTTCAGGTGTTTGCAGATAAATAAGAGACAGAATCTAGCAAATGCTTAAACCCAAAATATCACATAAGAAGTCTTGGCCAAATTTGTTGCCAAACAGAAGAAATACACTCCAGCTTCTTCCCACAGCTCAGAAACATGCAGGTAGCAATTCCAAACTGGGTTTAAGTGAGAGCACGTTTTCTGTTTGTATTTCTGTTAGCTGGGTGATAACCTGTTGACTTGTGAGAGCTAAATTAGGATCAACCCCCTCCCTTTTTCACCCGTGACCCTGAACAGAACAAGGCAGGTACAGAAAAGGAATGAATGGATCCATGAATGGAAAGGGAAGAGAGAAAAAATTTCTCACAGGCATGTGTACTGTGCAGATAATTGTCATTAGGGCAAAGCAATTAGTTTTTTCTAATGGTCACTCAATCCGTAACAGCGGGACTGGCTATCGCTTGCTAGGAGGGAGCATCTCCGTCCCGGCTAACCTGGCATGAGCCGCGCTGCGCTGGCATTCGGATCAAACGCTAATCAAGCCTCTGGGTCTCTGTGAGTGGAGTGCTGCTGCAGGAGATCACTGCAGACCGATGTTGTGTTCCAGTTTATCTCGAGGGGGGGTGGGGGGGGGGGGGGGTGGTGTTAAACTGCACAGATTCATGAAGGAGAGAGAGATGTTCTGCCAGATATTATTTAGTTTTTATCATTTCACTCACCTATGGAAGTATTTAAATTGGCAGAGAGCTGCTTAGTGGGAGCAAAGACCTTATGGGCATTCAGCAGCGTGCTTTCAAGTTGTGTTTGCTTTGTAATAGGATCCATCAAGGCTGCAGGAGAGAAAAGGATGGAGGCAGACAGACAGACTTGTTAGAAACCATGAAAGAAGGATGGCATGACACCAAATTTTTCTGTAGAACTAGAGTCTAGACTCCCTGGAGAGCAGTAGAAGCATTATTCCACCACTTGTCAGAAAGGGTTATAGTTATGGCAGTTTTACAAGATCCATTTGTAAAGTTACCCCACTCTTATTTTGGTGGTCCAGTTTGTGACATCACTTCCTCTAGATAGTCACTTCCTGTAAAGCCGTTTCTACCATTTTGTCCAAGCTGTTGGTGATGGCAGACAGCCTCGTGTGCGTTCATGACTGATATGTAAGTTTGGCCAACCGTAGCACCTCTATGGATACATAAATAACCTATAAGTTCATTCAGTATCCTTTATGTCTGTCTGGACATATTGTTTGGATTATTTAGAGGGAGTTCCTACAGTTTAATTGTTATCAGTTGCTATTCTCGCTTGTAGTCCTCATTTCACTTCTCTTAATTTGTGTTATGTGTGCTAAATACTGGTTAATTTGAGTTTTATTCCATTTACTCCATGTGTATCCATCCATGACGTCAGTTCAGTTGAGGTGTGGTATAATGCCAGGCTAATTGGCAGCATGGTTTAGTAGTGTGGTACTTGCAACAGCAGTACCTTGGTTTGACCACCAGAGGTCCCCGGAGACCATATAATTTGTCAGTGCCTCTGAGGCTGGAAGTCACAATATTTACTCTGTGTAACCCTTGAATGTGCATCATTTGGGAATATATTTGTTTTTGCTTAGTCTTAAACGTTGGCATATTTATTTCACCATTTGTACAGTCCTTTTACATCATTCTTTGTATTTATTTTCCAGACCACACGGAACCACAGAAATGTACAGATGTCCATACTTCAACTGTCATTAAATACGTAAAACTGTCTCTCCGTGCCCTGCTCTCTGACCGGAGCCCTTATCTTGAAGATACTGTCAGATCAGCAAATAACTTCCAGAGTTCCCACTCTATCACATGGTCCTTCGAGCCGGATCCACAGTCATCTAGAGATATTATGGAGGACCCAGGACAACCATCTGCAGACCCAGCAGTGCGTTCTAGATCCCAGCGGGAGAGACGACTACCAACGTATTTGGAGGACTATGAAGTTGGATATCAACCTCAACTTCTCCATCATCCAGCAGCCCAAGCTCCAGCTGGGCATGAAGCTCATCCTCCAGATCAACCTGCAATGATGACAGCTGCTATCACTGGAGCCATACCTAGCCTACCTAGTAGGAGAGCATCATCAGATCGAAGCCAATCTGTCTCTCAGCGCAGTAAAGCTAAGACCCAGGGAAGCGCCAGTTCGTCAACAAGGAGGTCAATCATCGATGGGTTGTCTGACATACAGACAGCCATGTTGGAGGAGAGAATAAAGCGCATGGAGTTGGCAGAGGTGCAAAGACAGATAATGGAGGAAAGTCTGATGGATGAACAGTACCAGCATCTGGACCAGCAAGCTCGGGAAGCCCTCAGAAGAAGAGAGGAACTCCTAAGAGAACAAGAAATACAGAGGCGTAAGCTTGATGAAGAGGCAGAAATAGCATTAAAGGCAAAGGAGGCTATTACCAGACGGCTAATGCTGCAACGTAAACTAAAGGAAAAGGAAATAGAGTTAGAGAAAGCGACTCTCATTACATCCCTCCTGAAGGAGGAAATGAGCAGCTCTGTTGCCTCAAGACCGCAAAGTGGAGATGAATCCAACAAAGGGTCCCCAGCTGACGTCATGGGAGAACCAACACCCTCACAAGGTGCACATGGACCTGCACACTCTGCTCCTACAGTTATTGGCCCTCCACCAGCCTTTACAGCAGCAGTGCCTAATCCTCCTGTCTCAACAAGCCAATTAACAACTAGAGCTTCGCCTATCCTTCAACCGCAACCTCCTGCCATGGTGAACCTTCCGACCCAGCCACAATTCACATACTCCATGACAGCTCCTCCTCCAGGCTCAATCGCTGCACCTAGTACAGACCTAATGGAGCTATTAATAGCTACTTCATATGGACTTCCTAAGCCTGCTTTACCCTACTTCACATCTGGAAGAGAGGCAGACTTTGCACTGCTCAAGATGGCTCTAGATAACCTGCTAAGCTCACATGCTCACCTCACCTCACCATTTAAATATCAAGTGTTGTTGCAGCATTTGAAGCTGCCTAGTGCTCACAAGCTAGCACAATCCTTTATGTATGACCCGAAACCATACACATCGGCCCTACAGGCACTTCAAGATAAATACGGGCAACCCCGCCAGCTTGTGCAAAGTGAGCTAGGAGCCATCCTAAACTTACCTCCAGTTAGGTTTGGTGATCCAGATGGATTTGACAATTTTGCCCTCTCAGTACAAGCTTTAGTAGGCATGCTCCGATCGCTAGAGGGTGAAAATGGCTACGAACTTAAATGTGGCTCTCATGTTGATAGGCTGCTTAACAAATTGCCCGCTAACTACAGAGACAGCTTTGTTGAGTATAGCTTGAACTGCGGCATTCTGACAACTGGCACTGATAAGACTTATACCCTGTCAGATTTCTCCACATGGCTCCAGTTGAAATCACAAGCCAAGCGAATCGCCGCTAGAGCAGCGTACATGTGTCAAGATCAACCAAAGCTGAGGAATCAGAAGAAACCTCAGGGTCCTTCATCCAATGTGTACTACAACACAGAGAGCCAGGCTAAAGCCACACCTCCAGATCCAGCTGGCCATATAAGATCACCTAAGCTTAAATCAGGTCCTAAACCTTACTGCCCTTATTGTGACGACAGAGGACATTACCTGAGCCTGTGTCCTAAATTCAAAGCTCTTTCAGCAGCTGAAATTGCCACATGGATCAAACACAGAAGCTGCTGGCGGTGCGGCAGGAATCGTGCACCTGAGGTTTGCACTCTAAAGAAGCCCTGTAAATTATGTAAGCAACAACATCTTACTGTGCTCCATGACGTGTGCCCTCAAGAACCTAAAAAGGTGTTAATGGTCAACGCTGCTCCCAATACAGTGTACACTGACCGTCCAAATCGCCCAAATAAAGTCATGCTCAAGTTGGTCAAAGTATGTCTACACAATGCTGAGTATTCCCTGGAAGGCTTTGCTATCCTCGATGACTGGTCCGAGAGGACTCTTATCCTCCCATCAGCAGTGCGACGCCTCCATCTGACCAGTGTTGGGAACGTTACTTTAAAAAAGTAATTAGTTATAGTTACTGATTACTTTGTCAAAAAAGTAACTCAGTTACTAACTGAGTTACAAGATCATAAAAGTAACTAATTACCAACAAAAGTAACTACTTAGTTACTTTTTTCATTAAAGAATGCAAGAATTACTACAATAGTAAAATATAAATGACTAATGACTGAACATAATAAAATGAATGTCCAAATGTTTTATATAAACCTGAATAAACAAATAAGCACTTAACAGGAGGAACTACTAATAGGAACATTACACTAATCTAGACTATTAAAAGGTCACTGTGTGATATTTAACAAGACCCCAATCAGCTAAAATTTAAAATTGCAAATAGAAACACCTGTAAAGGTTCCCGAGCCTTTAAATTGTCTCTCTGTCTAGTTAAATTACAGAAATAAATGTAATTTTGCACAGTATTCTAATTTTTCCAGCTTCACATAATTGTGTGTTTTTAGCAGCATTTCTGTTGCTGCTAATCTAGTAACGGTTAAATAAATAAATAAATATCCTTTAAAATGACACTAGAACAGGCACTAGAAGATCTGATGGAGGACTTACATTTACTAACGTGGGTCAGACCCAACCACAGATGAGCTGAAGCTGGGTGGTAAACACACACAGGTAGTTCTAATAACACCTGAGCTCCATGCCGTCTGAGACAGATGCATCAGTGTTACAGCGGGACTAAAGACATGATCAGAAACAGGTTACAGCTGGATGATCTAGGAAGGTGGAAGATCAGGACGTCTGAGCGGTGAACAGGTGAGCGGACCTTCGGGACGTCCCCCTGTCATGCTAAGGGCACGGCGGCAGACCCGCAGATTTGTTGCTGCAGCAACAAATCTGCGGGTCTGCCGCCGTAGACTATTCATCACGTCTTCCTCGTTCTTCACGGGCCGTGATACTCTTAAACATCTGCCTCTTTAGCTTCTGATCAGCTGACAGCTTCAACACACCGCGCTGCTTAACGCACGCATTTTCTTATCAGTAACAGGAACGACGTTTTGATAAAAGAAGACGTAATTAATTAGTTTGCTCGTTACAGAAAGAAATATTTTTATTAACGCGGTCATTTTAAACGGAGTTATTCCCGTTGTGTCTACAGAATGCAGTGACTGAGACCGTGAGGGTCTCCGCCCACCCGGCCAATCATCGTGTTTGTAAGTGCGTTACCGACACCTCTCTCTCCCTGGCTGCAGCTGAAGTGTCTGGCTGCAGCTGAAGTGTGGCGGTCAGAAAGCCTCACGCTGCTGCTCAACATTCTACAAGCACATAGTAATGCACAACGTTCCGTCCCCAGTAACGGTAACGGCGTTGCAACGGCGGGAAAAGTAATTAATTAGATTATTCCGTTACCTATAAAAGAACGCCGTTAGAAACGCCGTTATACTTAAACGGCGTTACTCCCAACACTGCATCTGACTAAAGAGCCTGAAAACCTTCCCCTGCGCACTGTCCGCCATGAGGTGATTCACCTTCAGGGAGCAACAGTTTCATTTGAAATATCCCCAGTCCACACTCCCAAAGTAAAGTACAGCATTCACCATGCCTTCACTGCTGATGAACTAAGTCTCTCAGAACACAGCTACCCTGTAAAGTCAATCATGCGAAAGTACTCCCATCTGGGAGGACTTCCACTTCCACTTGTGGACAGAGTGCAGCCTTTACTTCTTATTGGGTCTGATTTCCCTCATCTACTCATCCCTAAGCAACCAGTAATAGCTGGCCCACCTGGGAGCCCCCTAGCAGTGTGCACGCCTCTTGGTTGGACATTACAAGGCCCAGCCAACTTCAGTCCTGTTTCTGCTGACCACCCACACTGCTACTTCACCACATCTCCCAACTCAGAGCTCCAGCGCCATGTAGAACGTCTGTGGGAAGTTGACGTCTCGCCTTATATGAACATAAAGACTGCCACGCGTTCTAAAGAGATCAACAGGCTGTGGACCTGTTAGAGCAACGCACCAATAAAGTGGAAGTGGATGCAGTGACTAGATATGCTACTCCACTTCTCAGGCGCAAGGATAGTCCCCTCCTCTGGGCATCAAAGAACACATTGCTCCCACAGCTACGTAGTACTGAACGCCGTCTGGCTAAAGATCCAGCTCTGGCAGATACCTACTGTCAAGAAATCCATAAATTTGAACAGTTAGGTTATGCCAAACCTCTTCCTTCAGCTACAGTAGACAGCTCCCAGGAGTCTTGGTATCTGCCTCACCATGATGTCCACCATAATGGAAAGGCAAGAAAGGCCTACAAGGTGATGGCCACGCAGTATGACCCACTGGGCTATCTTATCCCATTCACCACTCAAGCCAAGATCCTCATCCAGGACCTGTGGAAAGTGGGAGTCGACTGGGATGAGCAGATTCAACCCAAGGCTCTACTGGAAATATGGACACAATGGGAGGGTGAGCTGGTCTACCTCCCACAAGTGGAAATCCCAAGATGCTATGTTCCAGCAACCTTGGCCCCTGAAGTGCCTAACAGACAAGCGCACATCTTCTGTGATGCCTCCGAAAGAGCTTACGGAGCAGTCGAGTATATTCAAACTCTCGATAACCAGGGCATGTTCACGTTGCATTTATGATGGCTAGATCTCGTGTTTGCCCTCGAAAACAGCTGTCAATGCCACGCCTTGAACTGTGCGCAGCTCTAGCAGGAGCTCAGCTGGCTAAGGTCACAATGACAGAGTTGTCATTCTCTCCCCAGCAGATAACACTATGGACCGACTCAACTACAGTGTTGACATGGCTGAAATCAGACTCAAGTCGATACAAGGTTTTTGTTGGAACGAGGGTTGCTGAAATTCAAGAACTTACCGAAGGGTCAACTTGGCGGTATGTCAGCACCTCTGATAATCCAGCAGATGACCTTACCCGCGGGAAGACACTCCATGAGCTCAGTCAGCCCAACCGGTGGAGTCAGGGTCCACAATTTCTTCACCAGCCTATTGACACCTGGCCAGAGCTACAAATGGAAGTAGCTCAGGAAGAAGATGAGGATGAGCTACGCAAGACAGTGTTTTGTGCAGCAGCTACCTGTCCTTCTCATGAGGTGGATGTTACTAACATCGACAACTGGGATGACCTCGTTAGAGCCACTCATATGAGCCTTCACGGGGCGGCCAAAGACCTGGCGAGCCCCACCATGACAGCTGCAGATGTACAAGAAGCTGAACTACATCTCCTACGACAATCCCAAAGTGAGACCTTCCAGGAAGAGGTGAAACTCCTTGCTGTGGGGAAGTCCATCTCCAAACAAAGCCGCCTAATCATGCTTGCTCCTGAGTATGATATAGCTGTCGGGCTGATAAGAGTGGGAGGCAGGCTGCGAAGAGCAGAAGATCTGGATCTAGACACCATGCATCCAATTATCCTTGACCCAAAACATCATGTTACCAGGCTCCTCATCAAGAAATATGACAACCAGCTCCTGCATCCAGGTCCCGAGCGTGTGTTCGCTGAAATTCGGAGAAGATACTGGATCCTACGCGGAAGAGAGTCCATCATACGGCATCAGTACAGCTGTGTGGAATGTCAAAAGTGGCGTGCTAGTCCTGTAGTCCCACAAATGGCAGACCTTCCCCCAGCAAGACTCCGTCTATACAAGCCACCTTTCTGGTCTACCGGAGTGGACTGCTTCGGCCCTTACAATATCAAGGTGGGTTGACGCACAGAGAAGCGATGGGGGATCATCTTTAAATGCATGACAACGAGTTGTGTGCACCTCGACCTGCTGGAGAGCATTGACACTGATGCTTTTCTGATGGGATTACGTTGCTTCATCGCTCGACGTGGCAAACCCTTTGAAATCCTGGCCGACAGAGGGACCAATTTCCGAGGTGGAGCGGCTGAACTACAGACCAGCTTCCAAACTTTAGAAGCACCTATCCAAAAGCAGCTGGCTGGACAGAAAATAGAGTTCCGATTCAACCCGCCAGGTTCCCCTCATTTTGGGGGGACATGGGAACGGGAGATCAAGTCAGTGAAGGCAGCCCTTCGAGTGGTACTGCAGGACCAAACTGTCACAAAATCTGTTCTGCAGACGGTTTTGATTGAGGTGGAGGGAATTCTCAATGCGAAGCCACTGGGATATATATCCTCGGATGCTGCTGATCCAGACCCAGTCACCCCGAACTTACTACTCATGGGACGTCGTGATGCATCGCTTCCACAAGCCATTTACGCTTCCAGTGAACTCCTGGGCAGACGGCGATGGCGACACAGCCAGGTCCTGGCAGACCACTTCTGGTCCAACTTTATTCGCTACCATCTTCCTAACCTACAGAAGCGACACAAGTGGCACAAGAATACAGAGAATCTTGCAGCTGGACAGGTTGTGATGGTGGTCGATTCACAACTGCCCAGGGTCCAGTGGCCGATCGGGAGGATTGTCAAGACATGTCCAGGCTCAGACGGTCGAGTCAGGGCAGCTGAAGTGAGGATAAAGGGACAGACTTATCTTCGACCAGTTGTGCGCCTGGTGCGACTGCCAGCTTGGGAAGATGAAGATGACTCTGGCTAAACACCTGATAAGACTTTCCTCTAGTTTTCGAATTTATAACTAAATTCGGGGGCGGCTATGTCAGAAAGGGTTATAGTTATGGCAGTTTTACAAGATCCATTTGTAAAGTTACCCCACTCTTATTTTGGTGGTCCAGTTTGTGACATCACTTCCTCTAGATAGTCACTTCCTGTAAAGCCATTTCTACCATTTTGTCCAAGCTGTTGGTGATGGCAGACAGCCCCGTGTGCGTTCATGACTGATATGTAAGTTTGGCCAACCGTAGCACCTCTATGGATACATAAATAACCTATAAGTTCATTCAGTATCCTTTATGTCTGTCTGGACATATTGTTTGGATTATTTAGAGGGAGTTCCTACAGTTTAATTGTTATCAGTTGCTATTCTCGCTTGTAGTCCTCATTTCACTTCTCTTAATTTGTGTTATGTGTGCTAAATACTGGTTAATTTGAGTTTTATTCCATTTACTCCATGTGTATCCATCCATGACGTCAGTTCAGTTGAGGTGTGGTATAATGCCAGGCTAATTGGCAGCATGGTTTAGTAGTGTGGTACTTGCAACAGCAGTACCTTGGTTTGACCACCAGAGGTCCCCGGAGACCATATAATTTGTCAGTGCCTCTGTGGCTGGAAGTCACAATATTTACTCGGTGTAACCCTTGAATGTGCATCATTTGGGAATATATTTGTTTTTGCTCAGTCTTAAACGTTGGCATATTTATTTCACCATTTGTACAGTCCTTTTACATCATTCTTTGTATTTATTTTCCAGACCACACAGAACCACAGAAATGTACAGATGTCCATACTTCAACTGTCATTAAATACGTAAAACTGTCTCTCCGTGCCCTGCTCTCTGACCGGAGCCCTTATCTTGAAGATACTGTCAGATCAGCAAATAACTTCCAGAGTTCCCACTCTATCACAACACTAGACAATACAAAAATATGTCTTAATATTGTGTTTGGGTTGTGGTTCGGGGGCTAGGCTGCATTTAGAATTGAGTTTAAGATTTATTTACGCAAACATGAATGATAACTGAGCAGCTTTCACTCACATAAGTGACCTGATGACAGATCACATCACACCTGGTTCTGGCTCCCAACCATTTAGGTGTTAAGTGTAGTTGCTGTTGAGCTCAACAGGAGGAGCTGTGGACTCATTACTTCCTGTCACAGAGCTGTTTGAGCCTCTTCTATTGATTTATTTGGTTACAACAGCAGCATCGTGGTTTATGAGATGCCACTCAATGCGTTCAAACTACTTAATAGCAAAACCTGTGGGTGCATGACCATAATGTGGGCAAGCTTAAGAGGTGAAGCCCCTCTGTGTTCCTCTAATCCACTTACTGGGGTCATTGTTTATGTTATTCTGGGTGGGAAATGCAGTACACACGAAGACACAAGGCATCCTCTCACCTGCTTTCTCAAGGGAGGCTGTAATCATAATTAAGTAGCCATCAGGCAGGAACATGAGAGGGGAAAAGTAATTAAGTGTAGCTGGAGTGTTATAATACCACCCAAAGGAATCTGTTTATCTTAGGGCTGCACAGTGTTAGAATAATATATGATTGCATTATTATTGTTGAATATTGCAGTGATGGTATGAGTTGTGATAAACCCAAGTTCTGTTTTCATATTGCTCACACAAACATGGTGGTTGTTGACATTTAGGGAAGCTGGGGTCAGAATGATAGCAATATACATACAAGCATGCTTACAATTGTTGGTAACCTGAAAGACAGAAAACCCCACAATTAGGGAAGTGGTACTAGAAGCCAGCAATCATTGTTATCTTTAAAAGGACTATATCATATAAAATCCACTTTTGACCAGGTTACAAAACACTCCCAAAGCGCATTTGGGCTTTACGTTTTCCTGTTTCAGCTCAAAATTCTCTGCTAGTCTGTCCATCAGATGCAAAAGCCTGGATGGGGTCGTCCTTTTCAGCAATCACCGAGTAGGACATAACAACCTCCGAGTGAGGGGTGAGTCAGGGGATGGGACATTGGAACCCAGGGGAGGGTGTTTGCGTGTGCATGCATCAGTATTAAACGGATACTTCGCAACTTTTTCATATTTAAAAACATTTTCTTGAGCCAGTTTGTGCTAAAATTACCCTTTACAGGGTTAATGAAAGGCCACCCAGCCCCTGTGGCCAGAATATTCCACCTGCAACTTCAGAGTGTCGGTCCAGTCTGTTGGGACTGACATACCTGGTGCTGCAGTCTGCTTCCAGCACATTTCCTGCATGTTTTAGATCATGAATGCTGCTGACTCGTTTAATTTAGTGACGAATCACTCTTGTAGACACTAATGAAGGATGGGAGATGTTTCAGCTCATAGATTTCTTTAATGGAAGGGTACCAATAATCTGCCGTTGGTATATGGTTTGTGTGTAAATTCATTGTTTATTGTTCATGTTTGTTTCTCCCCAACCTGGTACCATACATCTGCAATGTGATGCAACTATGCACCAAAGGGTTTTTGAGACTCTGCAAGAAATCTCACCTGAATGTCACTCAGAGCTAGTTCAACCTGAAGATCAACAGATGCCCAAGGACACCCCCTCTAATATATCTCTCAGCGCTTTTACAAGGACAGAGTCATCCTCCGGCATTACTACATTTGAGGAGGTGAATTGGACCCGGTTGCTTGCATGCACCTTGAATTAAAATAACGAGGCCGCTCCCGACTGTGTCACAGTAATGAGAAGGCAGCAGCTCACAGAGAGCAGCATTCAGCAGGGACTGCCGGTGGATTTAATTAGTCTGTGTTTACCTCCTTGTGTAATGCCCAAGAACCTAAAGCACAATCACGTGTGCCTCCGCCTTGGCACTCAGACACAAACAGCTGTAAAAGAGATAAATTTCGAGCGCCCCGAGTCTATCAGCGCATAGGAATGGCAGCTCAGTTGGGAGGAAACTCCACACAGAAAAGGAGCCTCTGAAAAACAAGAACGCACCATGTTAGTGTTTTGTTTGTGTCAGGGAGGGCAGAAACGTAGCAAGTCTGAAAGAGAAGAAGTTCGTGTGAGGTGTGCTGGAGTTTGTCATCGGGGAATGTTCTGTTGAGCTCCAGTCAGGCGGTGTGGAGAGGAAGTGTAGCGATGCACAGCTGTGCGCAAGAAACATCTCGCACAATCCCAAGTGCACTGTCAGACAGACAGAAGTTAAAAATGTGGATTTACTCTTCATCCTTCAGTAACATTATCACAACAAATACCTGGAACACACCATCAACCAGGAGACAGACTCATTTTTGTACTTTGAGACTGCTGACAACACAAAAACCCAGCATGGCAGCTCATGTAATCACATATGACAAAGGCCAAGTGCTTACCAGCTATATTTAGCTTGTAAACAATTCCACTCTAGTGACAGATTTACAAACCATAAAATCCTCCTTTATTTTAAATCACTTCTGGTTCTAAATGCATTGATGGACCTGCGGGTAAAACAACTTTATTGTTAATCCAGCAGTATGCTACAGTGACAGAGCTCATCCATAAGAGGTGTCATAGCGCCGCCCTCCCTGATGGGAAGGGAGAAAAGAATCTATAGTAAAATCTATCTTTCTGACTAAGTTTAGCTTAACTGTGTGTTCCTACACGCAATATGAATTTTTTACAAATCATTTTCACCAGCTGGCTCTCATTAAACAATGAATTTCCTCCAGCAGACTCACTAATATCACTCCTGGGGTGCTGGAAAACGTGTTCCTGAGCTGCAGCTAAACAGCCAATCATGTTTGGTTGCTAGGGAGAACTGGAGAATTTTTGGGCAATCAGCACCACTGAATTTATTGTCTCTGAGATGCTGGCTGATAGTGCCCCTGCTACAGAAAACAGCTAGCTAGCATGCTAGAAGGTGCTGCCTCCTTTCCTCTCTCACTCCCTCATTCATACACACTCACTGTTGGTTTATGTAGAGCTGAAATCATACCTGTTGCTGTAAAATGGGTTTTTTTGTTCTTATAATGTTTGAATCGGTATATCTAATTCAATTTCATTGTCGTGTTAGTTGGTCTTCTCCGGGTCAGGGATGGGGTCCTGCCCAAAGTCTGGGAGTTCAAATATCTCAGGGTCTTGTTCATGAGTAAGGGAAACGTGGAGCATGAGACCGAAAGGCAGATTGGTGCTGCATGCTGTGATGCTGGCGTTGTGCCGGTCTGTCGTGGTGAAGAGAGAGCTTCGCCTTCCGGCTCAGCTCCCGATTTACCGGTCGATCTACGTTCCTACCCTCACTTATGGTCACGAGCTTTGGGTAGTGACCGAAAGAACAAGATCACAGATACAAGCGGCTGAAATTAATTTTCTCTGCAGAGTGGATGGGCTCTCCTTTAGAGACAGGGTTAGAAGTTTGTTCAACCGGGAGGGGCTCGGAGTAGATCTGCTGCTCCTCCACACTGAGAGGAGCCAGTTGAGGTGACTCGGGCATCTGGTTAGGATGCTTCGTGGACGCCTCCCTGGTGAGGTTTTCTGGGCACGTCCAAACATGAGGAGACATGTCTCTTGGCTGGCCAGGGAACGCCTTGGGATTTCCCCAGAGGAACTGGCCCAAGTGGCTGGGGAGAGGGAAGTCTGGAGCTCCCTGCTTAGGCTGCTGTCCCCCTGACCCAATTCTGGATAAGTGCCCGAAAATGGTTGGATGGCGTGTTAGTGGCACCTACTGGTGGAATGGAAAACTACACTGAAGTGGACACTGGGTGAATAATTGAGACACACAGGCTGTTGGAATTTGAAAACTCAAGATGGAAAACGAACTGTCAAAATAAAATGTGTGACAAACATGTACACTATGTATGGACTGCAGTTTTATCTGCAAGTTAATAGACTATCTATAAAACCGCTTATTCAGAGAAGGGAAATTATTGTTTTTGAATTGTAATCATTTCCAATTGTTCATTTGATTACTTATAATGGACTGAGAAGGTGCATACTTTCACACATAGCACCAACAAGAATGGTTTCCACCAATTGGTACGCTAAAAAGTGCAGAGGTGCTGATTTTTTTCTGAAACAGGTGGTAGGAGATTGTGGAGTTTAAACGAGAGGAAATCACATATAATTAACCTTTTTTTCCAGGAGCAACAGAGAGAAAGAACCCAGTGGAGACGTGTTAGCGATGCGTGGCTGGGTTATCTGGGGGATGGGGGGTACAACCTTCATTTCTGAGCTCTCAATCTCCTGAAAGTGAAGACTTCCCCCTCCACAACCCTTTAATATAGATATGTGCACAAACAATACCATTTTGTTAAACTCCTTGCCACAGAACACACACACACACACACACACACACACACACACACACACCGACTGTCTCACCAACTAAACATTATTAACATGATCCCTTCGGTGTGCTTCCCACTTAAGTGTGATGCTAGCGCTTTGCCTTTTGCCAGGCTGACAGCCGGGCTTAATTGGCTTTTGAAAGACACAAATGCCCTTATGTAACATTTTAAAGCCAGCCTTGGGCACGGCTTCAGTAAGAAGAAACGTTGAAAAAAATTAAATAAAAAAGACAGCTCTTCAAGCAAGAATGAGCACAAAGTCAGAGGTAGTGCAGGTGTACGTGTGTGTGTGTGTGTGTGTGTGAGTGCGTCTGATATGGTTTGGCAGGCTGAAAGATGTAGCGCATGTCAGTCTTTAATCAAAGCAGACAATAACACAGAAATAGTTTTTTATACTCAAACGTCTTTTATAATCAAAAATATTATTCAAGCATTTACAGTGTATTACAACAAATGATTCTATGCAACGGTTGACAGCCTTTACAGAATATGGAGAAATATATTCATTTTTGATATATGATACAAACCGGGAACAGCAAAAAGAGAAG